TTGTGTGGTCAGATACAGTAAACCCACTGAAACCTTTAGAGAAGGAGTGTCCTGAAGTGTTGGCGAGTGTGTTACTGGGGGGTATTTCACATTTTGTATGATTTATGTATAAATTATCATAAAGTACACTATGTTGCCAAAAGTATTTGCTCACCCCTCCAAATGACTGTGCACCAGTGTACAAAGCAAGGTCGATAAAGACATGGATGGCAGAGTCTGGTGTGAATAAACTTGACTGACCTGCGCAGAGTCCTGACATCAACCCAARAGAATACCTTTGGGGGTGAGTTGGAGCAGAGACTGAGAGCCAGGCCTTCTGTCCAACATCAGTAAGTGACCTCAAAAATGTGCTTCTGGAAAATTGGTCAAAAATCCCCATAAACACTTCTAAACCTTGTGGACAGCCTTCCCAGAAGAGTTGAAGCTGTTCTCGCTGCAAAGTGTGGACCAACGTCATATTTGACCCTATAGATTAGGAATGGGATGCCACTTCAGCTATGTGAGTCAAGGCAGGTGAGCAAATACTTTTGGCAATATAGTGCATTTGCCATTTCTAACATGGAAAACTGCCAATTTCTGCCATATGCTTTTTTGAGGCTCTCAAACACTTGGAGAAATCTAAACAGGTTGAGCCAGGTCCTTAGGAGGGTTTCTGTCATGTTTCTAGAAAGATGTTTGGCCTACATGCAGAACACTCTCAGGAGACGAGGAAAGTTCAAAAAGTTTATTTACAAATAAAAAAAAAATTGAGAATCTCCTTCTGGGGATGGAGACCCAGGGGAAGGGAATCACTGAAGGCAGAGGAGAATATGATGAGAAACACAAAAATACTGATGGAATGATGAACCAAAAAAAAAAAACCTCTAACTGGAGTTGTGAGGGAGCGTCCACCAGTGGGGGGTGGTTGAGTGCAGTGCAGCCAGATGGAGCGATGGGAGGACAGATTACCGTGCAGACCGGGGACAAAGACCTTGAAGCTGTCAGTCTCAAAACTGCTCCAGGAGATCTTGGGTTCTCGAGGAGGCTAAGGGAAACTCTGGTAGATGAACCAGGAGGTGGTGGAGGAAACCTTGGAAGGAGATCGCAGGAGTTAATATAAAGTTCCACAGGGGAAAAAAAACATCTCAGAAATTAACACAGAGAAAAAAAACTACAAGAGCATGAGATACCATTGCAGARAAACACTCAGGCACTGGAGAACTGACAGCCAACTCTTTTTCTCCCCTGGATGATTGCAGGAGAGGATCTGCAGGTGTGAGTGATAATCAGCGGTTCTACCCTCCAGTGACAGCAGCTCCAGACTATCTGCACAAACAAACTGAAGACAACAAAAACTCACCCAAACCCAGGTTTCTAACAGTTTCTTCTGATTATAAGACTGAGCTTGCCTGCAACTCCTTCAGTCTGAGCAGTTACAGTTGCCTGCAACTGCTCAGACTGAAGGAGTAGGATATTTTGGATAAAAGACAAAAAGTTTCCACAAATAACCTGTTCAGAGGACCTGACTCAACCTTGTTAGACTTTTTTACCTGGATTACTCATCCATGTTTTTATTTTTTATCATCTTGATTACTGCAATTCTCTGTTTATTGGTCTGCCTAAAAAACCCCTCAAATGCCTACAATTAGTACAAAAT